ATAAAAATACTTTTCACTAACTGTTCTTCCAGAATATTGTACAACATTCATTTTAATTATTATACTTTGCTTTCCTTTAAATATGATTGAAATAAAAATATACTAAGTAAATGAAAGAGTGAATGAATGGATTAATTAATTAATTAATGATAGATTAATTATTATTTATTATTATTCATAAAAGAATGAAGGAATGAATGAAGAAATGAACGAATGAATGAAAATTCATGGCATCCTGAACATCTTATATTACAACGTAGTTTAGTCTAATGTTTTATTAGTTTTTATTGTATCTTTCATTTTTGTGTTTGATTTTGTTATTTACGAACTGTTACTCATCATACATATTGTTACTGTATAATGTGAATAGTTCAAAAATAAACTTTAAAAATCTCAAAATATCTAACATTAATAAATCAAATAATAAAATATTAGTGTTTTTTAGTTTTTTAATGTCAGAAATTTGTTGAAATGACTGGTATGTAAAAATGATTGACACCTCAATGAACCAAAAAGAACCACAAAGAAAGGAAAAATATTTTTATATCTTTCCAGAAATCTATCATTCCATCTATTGCTTCATAAATATATTGAATGTCTCGCTGAGAGGTCCAAATTCCTTCTTAAACTATTTTACTACTGTACTTCCAAGTCTTTATTTTACAAGCTCATTTAAGTTTCATGAATGTCTTTTTCATTTTTAATCCTATTTTAATTAAACATTTTTATTTTAAGAATTGTACTTGTTAATTAAATAAAACTGAATTGAATTGAACTGAATTGACTGGGATCCAAATTCACCTCTGCATTACCATATTTGGAGCAAATATGTGTATGTGTAAATACCCCAAAATGGCACGCTCAAATAGCAAAAATGCTTTTTTTAAAGCAGTGCTTCCTGACAAAAAAATAATTAGCTGCTTCCTCGGCGGGGGTTGAGGCCAGGGTTCCTCCTGGACCCCCCACCCCACCACTGATGCTGCAACTGCATGAACTATTCCTGGTGTTCTTCATTACACATGAGGGTACAATTTTAGATTTGTCAGTTTTTGATTGCTTTAATAGTTTTATTGTACAGTATGTTTATTATGTTTCATGTTGTACCCATTATATATTATTGATGTGAATATTTCAATGTGAAGTAACAAAAAAAATCAAAAATATCCTATTCAATGAACCAAATACCAGGTAATAAAATATTAGTGCTTTTCACTTTTATAAAGTATGTCTGAAATTTTCTGAAATGGCTGGTATGCAAAAATGATTGACATCGAAGTAAACAATAAAAAATAAGGGAAAATGTTTTTATTTCTCTCAAACAATCTATAGCTTAAATATCATATCATAGGACAATACATCTTTAATTCTGTTATCCACTACTACTTATGTTATAATGTGGATATTTCAAAAACAGCTCATCAAATAAAAAATCTGAAAATATCCTATCATTTCAAATTAAATAATAAAATATTAATGCTTTTGAGTATATATTATATCATTTTTACTATAGGAAAGTCGCATTAACAAAGTCGATTTTGTACAAGACCGTGGAAATCAATAGTTATCTGACCTTGCAGGATACTATAGTCACTTGTAAATCTGTTATCTGCTGTTTTTTTTAGGGTTTTTCCCCTTTTTTAGTCAGTATAGAATATTTAGTGTTTATTTAAAGTGCTTGAAATAGATATTAATTGTGGAAAGAAATACATTAAATAATTTTTGATTTAAAACAGAAAAAGTATCAAAATATGAAATATCATATTATTGAGAACATCATCCATCCATCAAAACTTCTACAGAGATAGGATGCATATATTGACAAAGAGCATCTCATTTTTGAAAGAATAATGTGTTTTGTAATAAAGGAAAGAATAAATCAAAATTGCTTTCTAAATATTTGTGGGTTCAACCAGCATAAAAACAGCAGCACAGTTATCAATCATTATTGAGAATTCATACCACAATTTTTGATTAACTGGTTATGGTTCAACAGTAACATTAGTGGCGTATCCAGGATTTTGAAAAGAACAGAAAGAACAGAAATATTATATCCACTGAAATTTATGCATGGTGCAAAACTAGGGAAGCATATAAATGGCTATGACTACATTCTAAAATGGTTGTTAATATCTAATCTGTCTTACTGTGCCATTTATTTCCATTAATTGTCTATTATTTTTTCCACATTTGATCAAAAATTGGGTGGGGGGAAGAGGGAGGGCTGACACCGTGAATAGTCTCCTTGGTTTATGCCACTGAACATTACAAAATTTTGTTTGAAAGTTACATTGTTACCTAATTATAAACTCTTCCCCATGCTTGTCTGGTGAGATGTTTTACTTGGTGAAATGTTTATGAGAATTCCGACGTCAACAGAGAGACATCAACTCCTCAAACATAGGCTAATTCTGACATTTTGTTGTGCAACTTTTCTAGCCTGACCTTCAACCCCTACCTACTAAACCACTTCTGTCCTGGCATAAAAAAGAACATTTGCCTCCTCATAAATTTTTCCTCCATAACATACCCTTGTATTCTAGCAATAGGGAAGGCAACATACCTACAGTATGGCCAAATACCAAAAATGATGTTTATTTTCCCTATATTCTTTATTATGGATTCCGATACATATTTATAAAAACTTAAAGGGTATACAAAGAACTCAATACATACTGAAATCATGATCTCGTATCATGAAAGTTCCACTAATTAATTTCTAAGTTTAACTTTGAACGTTTCACTTATTATTACTGAAATAATTGTTTGTTGTTGCTCTGCCTGTAGAGAAAAACAATATGTATCTTGGCAAAATATGTTTATCATGAACAGAACAAAGTTTTACTGCTCCACGACAGCGCTATTAATATCTAAATGGCTTGTTTTCCTCAAGAGGATGAAAAATCATGTTAAGTTTACAATAAATGACGGCGAACAAAATCTGATATCGTATCATGCTAATTAAACAAGACATTAACGTCACTGTTTAACATAACCATGATTGTTAAATGTTTTTTTTTCTGCGGGAAATAATTACAAACAATTACTGGTTAGTCATTCAAATGTGGACAGCATACTGAAAAGGGGAGTAGACATGATGGGAACATATGTCCCCAGGCTTTTTTCTTCGTGTTGTAATATGCAGTTATACAAATGATGGCTAACAAAACAAAACAAAACAAAAACCAGAAATATGCATTTATCATAATCATTATTACCTTCTAAAATATTATTAGAAATTTTAAGTTAATTTGAAAAAAAAAAACTTTTTTTTCAAATTACTACTGTATGTACTAACTTATTAAAATGATTGACAGTTTCATATTTTAATATCTTATTGAAAATTAAATGTTACTTCTTGAAAATAAATAGATTTGTATTATTGTATCTAAACTCTCAGCAAAAATTCACTAAAGATTGTTCAAAAACAAACATTATTATTACAATTCAAATGTGTATGTACAATTGAAAAAGTTAATTTCATCACAAAAAAAATAAAGCTAAGCTTATTTTTAAGGAGATGGGATTATTTCAGTTGGAAGAAAACTTGGTGTATTTTGATTCTTTGAATTATTTTTTTTTTTAAAGAACCACCTGCAGTTTCATTTATTTCAGGAATGTTACTAACTTATTTGTAATTACAATAATAGAGCAGCAGCTTAGCTCAGTCAGCTAATCTGGTGGTAGCCACTGTGTGTGTGCTGAACCGTGGAGATCTCTAGGTCCCTGGTTCAATTCCCATCGCTGCCTCCCTTGTGTTTCAGCTGGAGGGCTGAAATACAAGTTACAATAGCGCACCGTCTTTCGGATAAGAAGTTTAAGCCGTTGGTTCCGTGTGCATTTATGGCCCATGTGCATGTTAAAGAACGCAGTACACTCTTCGGAAAAGAGTAGGGGATAGTCTCACGGTGTACTGTTCAATCACCACCAGAAGGACCCCACTGGAAATAAGTCTTCTTTTAGACTTTCGTGGGCTATCCTTGGTGTTTACACCGAATAAATCCATTCCATTCCAATAATAATAATAATAACATATTCTTTATTTTCTTTATCTAGTAACAGATAAATTTTGGATCGTTGCTTATAAATGTGTTATTATTTTTAGATGCTCAAACTAGGATCCCACACTGGAATAGTAGAGCATAAATTTAATACATTCAAATAATCTGTAAATATTTGAACCACTAACTTTTCTTCTATAAAAGTCTTTAAAATATTTATGGAAAAAATTATTATATAAGATAATATTCATGTTTATCCCAGTCTAAGTATTATAAATCAGAATTAAAGATATTGATGTCAATGTATTTAAGCTTGTGTATGCAAAACATTTATTTTATCTTAGTATAAATGACTATTACTATCAATAAAATTACAAGGGACAAGAGAATTATGAACTAAAGATATGATAGAGGGCAGCAAACATGTTTTGTATATCATCAGAAAAAAAAACTGACTATTTTCTTTAATTACTTTAGGGGTTGTTCACAATTATTAACATCTTTGCAATGTTCAAACAGTACTGTTTTCCGGTACCCCATTCCACCGCATAGACTGGATTCGGCCTGGTGATGCGAAAAATGAGAGTGTGAAACTGAATTCCAGAATGTGGAACTAAATACCTTTTCCACTAAAAACTTAAGGGTCATATTTTGGTACTTATTTTTGAAAAACCATTCTCTATTGTTTTTTGTGTAGTAAATTAAAGTGCTACACTTGATTGCATAAAAATGTTTTATATCCCTGGGTGCATTATAATTGGTCATAAAAATCTATTATTTAAAATATTGTAGGTTGTTTTGAACCAACATTTTCATGCATATGTAAAAGTGTACAAAGTTGTCTATCCCCTTCAACCTAGCATACTCTTTGTACACTTGTAAAATTGTTGATAAATTGTGAACGACCACTTTTAACTATAAATGTGAAAATTTACTTAAAATAATTTTAACAATGACAAATTAATTTTAAAGCCAAATTTCAATTATTTTCTACATGCTTACCTCATGTTGATGTTTTTCTGCTAAAGTTTTATTGTTGTGGTCCAAACGTCTGTTGCAATCTTCTTGCACCCTCTTAATTCTTGCCTTTGCTTCGTTGGCTAATGTGTGCAGTTCACTACATTGTGATAGCTCATCCTAATCACGAAGGAAATACAAAAACAACATGAACAGCAACAGCATTAATATGAACAATTAGATTAAACTAGAAGCCTCAATCTAAATATATACAGTTGGACATCTCGTAAGCGACTACCCTCAAGTCCAAGTAAAGAGGTTATGTAATAAGAGTACATACCACAAAGGCCAAACTTAATGTGATATCATGTCTAAGGTAAAATAATCAATACAGAAATATAATCTAGTATGTAAAAATTACTATTTTAATCTTTTTTTTTTGCAATCACCTCAGTGTAAAAAAAAAAAGAGAAAAGGACAAGGAACAAAGAAGAAAACAAACAAAAAAAACAAGCAAGAAAAAACAAGAACTGATGGAAGCAGGAACAGAAATGGAAAGTTTTAAGTTCAGATTTGAAATTCCTAACCAATTCAAGTCATTGGTGGGCATAATAAATATAGAAAATCTTTCATTTTTTTCTGAAATTTCCATTTTTTGTGGCCACGGGTGCGCTAATTAGCCAAAAATAACATTTTACTTTTATTCCAAATCATCATTATTGAGGTCGGCAGGTTCGCTAAACCAGACCATAAAAAAGTCTTGCCTTGAAAGAAGCAACTTAACTAAATGTTTTATCCTTACATTATCTATTATTAAAATACTGTTACATTTATTATACCAGGTAATTCACCTCAATTTCTTTGATCTTTGCAACCAATTTCTTGTTTTCTTTCGACAAGTCAGCCATCACTTTCAGAGTCTCGATGTGTTTGGTGCTCAACCGTTGGTGCTGTTCCTTCATTTCCTCCATGTTGCCACGGCGATTGTAACAATTGGCAGACATGATTTCAGAAAAATGCCCTATTTGGTTGCGATCATTTCTATGATGGCAACTTGTGTTCCAATATCAACCTGAAAAACAAAATGAGAAAAAAACTGATGTTTTTTAAATGAGCTTCGAATGCACCATACTTCCATACTATCATTTTCTACGTATGAAGTGTAGGGAAGAGTAATTAAAAGAAATTAAGGGCCTAGGCATCAACCATATGGCTAGGTAGCTATCTATCTAGCCTCAACAGGTTTGAACTTTAAATAAAATATATCACAATAATGCATGGGAGAAGGAAAAATTTAATGAGGGATTCACAGTGATAAAATAATTTTAGTGCATACAACGATGATGCCACTAATAGTAGTCTAGGACATGTAGGTTAGGCCTCCCTACTGCGCCTTTAACTAGACCCCTCTGTACAAGGTTATCATTCCATTCTTCTTATTTCCAATACCGTATATATTTTTCAAAGGATGATGATTACAGCCATCTTCCCTACATATGTTACCTCCTAGCAGCGGTGGCTCAAGGGGTTTGACATGTCCGACAACCGGTCTGAACCAAGGGGCTGACTAGAGCCTTGTCCCAGATCCCAAATTGGCCTTTTAGACTACATTAATTGCCAATCAATATTAATGTTTCTGAACAGCCCTCTTCATAGCATCGGACGACAGGGATCCAGCCCTGTCTGACAGGAGAAAAACACCCCCCACCCCACTGGCGCTACCACTGCCAGCTAGGTCAAACCAAATGGACGTGTTGATGTTGAACACATTGCATTGTTGTCCATAAATCTGCAATGTATGTTATGGACCATTCATTAAAATTGGGAGGGAATTAAAAAGCTACAGTAGTAAGTGCTGCAGAACTCGGCCATAAACTTATTGCTAAGCTAGTCTCAACAAAAATCCATTAAAATTTTTTTTAATGTGGATATTGTTCCAATGATATTATGCAAACCTGAGGTCTTGACTGTGGTAAAGCTGGCTCGACCCTTAACCTTTAAATTCAGTCTCGCTATCTTATTAATATTATTAATGCACTAATGGTATGTCGGAACAATATTCACAGCAAATTCAAAACACTTTTTTGAGTCAATATTTAAATCATGTTTTTGTTTTTAAAAAATGTTGACAGGGACAGCATTCATGCCACATGTTTTGGTAATTGTCAATTTGAAATAGGCCTAGGCCTACAAAACCTACTACAAGTTTACAGTTATTCAAAAAAAATATTTTCACTGAAAACTTTGAGATCGAAATATGGCCGCTGCCATTAGGTCCATACGCCGTGACCGATTTCAGCTAGTTCTACGACCGAAATTCACATTCAACGGCAACAACCCCATTTCGATCGAGGACTAGCCTAGGCCTAAGCAAGCTAGCTAGGCTAAAGAGAGCCTAGGTAGGCCACGCTAGGCCTATCCTACACCATCAAGCCACTGATGTACTTCTTTCTAGGTCTAAAACTGCCCCCAGAGCTAGAGGTTAATTTATAAATAATGTTTCTATACGTGACTTACAAAAGATTACTGTTAGGCCTAATTTAATGAGGCATTTTGCATTGTACCCTACTTTTGTGCTGAGCAGCAGAATCTTGTTTACGATCGCCATGCAGATTCTCGGATAACGCCCTCTGTAATTAAGCGCAATTTTTATATGTAAAACTCTCTTAAAAGTATCATAATTATTATTTAAAATTAGCAAATATCAAAAGTTTAAAACCAAAATATTATACAAATTTAGCAATTTAAGATTATTTTTAAAATTTTATGATTTTTTTACATGTATATAATTAAATAATTTAGAATTAATTTATATAACTGAGAGCACGTTTCATTGAAAATATGTGCGCCGGTTGTTGCGGTGGGCATGAGTTAGCGAGATCGAGAAAACAGGCTACATAACTAGGGCCTAGAAAATCCGAGAACCGTTTGCATTTATCAGTATTAAAACTTACCTAGAAATCCCAGAAACATGGCGACCCCAAAGGCAGAAATTAGTAAAGTCGTTGTTCATCCATTAGTCCTTTTAAGTGTTGTAGACCATTTTAACCGAATGGGTAAGGTAGGAAACCAAAGGAGAGTTGTCGGTGCATTGCTCGGCTCGAATAGAGGTGGTGTGCTAGATGTAGCAAATAGTTTTGCAGGTAAGATACGCCTATAGCTAGGCCTAGGCCTAGCCCATCCTCTAGTAGTAGGCAGGTCTTAAAGTTAATACTGACTGGTGTTTGATTTCATTATTTAGTGAACACATTAAGTTTCATTATCCATGCTATTTATATTTACTATACAATTCAATAGGTCTTGTTCTTTCCTTGGTAATTTCGATCTTAATTCTAATCTCTTAGTTCTCATTTTTTTTAAATTTGATACTGTTTGAACTTGATATTGTTACTGTAACTGTTTGGATAGGTGTATAGGCCTAGGTTGGGTGGAGAACAAGGCGGAAAGCTACTGTGTAGGCCTAGGCCTATGTGAGAACCAACAGTGGTCTTTTGAGTTGTAAAACATATTTTGGACATTTTATGGATATTAAATTATTATTTAGGCTATTTTATTAATTATTGTATTATTGGTATATTTGTTGTTAATAATTTAATTTATTATATTTTATATATGTAATTTATACTTCTTTTTTTTCTAGTACCTTTTGATGAAGACGACAAGGATTCTTCGGTTTGGTTCATTGATCACGACTACTTGGAATCTATGTATGCAATGTTTAAGAAGGTTAATGGTTAGTATAAATATACTTATACAATCTCCACTGTATTTCCTGCATCATCATCATCATTTATCAACGACATAATATGGTTAGTATCATCACTCCAATTATCAACTTCAGATCAGCTTCATCTACGACCGCAGTATCCAGTATCATAAATCCCATTCACCACAAACATCAGTCAATCATCATCAGCAGCAGCATCATTATTAAATAAACAATTTTTTTTAAATTATATTGTTGTTTGTGCAATTTCCAGCTGTTAATATTGTAAATATATTTTAGTTTATGTTTATGTTTGCATAAAAAACAATTTTGTTACCAATTTGTGTACATTTAAGATGAAAATAAATACTTTGTAATCTTCAACTTTGCTATTTTCATTAGCAACAACATCATTACTGTACATCAACCATTATCACAATTTGGACACTTTAAAGAAATATATTACCAACTCACAAGAGACACTATGGACAAATGACCCCCTTATTTTTAGATTATAATTTATCCTTTTTATGCTTCCAGCCCGTGAAAAGATAGTTGGATGGTATCACACAGGACCGAAGCTACACCAGAATGACATTGCAATTAATGAGGTCATACGTAAATACTGTCCCAACTCGGTCCTCGTCATTATTGATGCTCGTCCGAAGGACATTGGCCTTCCAACAGAAGCGTATTACTCAGTGGAGGAAGTGCATGATGTAAGTGAAGCAGGGTAATCACTGCGTCGCGCGACAGTTGTACAAACGTCGGCCGACGAATCTAACTCCACTCCCTCTGAACGCTTGACGCGATGCCGTCTGCTAATTGTCGGTGGTTGTCTGAACAGATCTTCATTAAAAACGATCCCTTGTGCTGCCGTCATGGTGTTGCATTCTTCATTGAATTGTGTCGGGCCGATGACTGGCTTCAGGCTCCACATAAATGGTTCGCCACCCTGTAAACACCTGGATAATTTTTCTAATAAATATCAACTCCAATCCCTAAGACTAAGAATAAGACTGGGATTATAAAGCGTCACAGAGTTTCTTCTATCTTGTAAGTGAGGAGTCGTTTGCTGTCTGATGAGGATGAAATAAATATGCAAACAAATAATATACAGTTTGAGAATCGGTAGTCAAAATTTTTTTTTATTGTTTTTTCTTCAGGATGGTACACCGACGTCTAAAACATTTGAGCATCTACCTAGTGAGATTGGTGCTGAAGAGGCAGAAGAAGTTGGTGTAGAACATTTACTCAGGTAGTAATAATATACTGTATATAATAATGGACCAGTAAGCCCCGTCCCTTGCATAGTATTGTTATTATTAGATAGTATAATACATGCTACAAGTATCGATATGCACGCCATCGTGTTTGGATTTAATATTTCGACATTAAGTCATAACTAATGTCTAAATATTGAATCCCGACACGATGGCGTGCATTTCGATACTTGTAGTATGTATTGTATTATACTATCTTATCTGAGATTAATCAGTGGACCTTTAGGTATTGCTATTAGATCACACAAAACCACTACCAACATTCATAAACATTGCTGAAGTGCGATACAGTGGTAAACAAACTTGTGGGATATGGGCATATTCCTGTCCACTCTATAGGATGGTGTTATCATTGGTATAGGCTATTAGTATAGGCTGTTATATGATGAGAGTGCTTTATGTAACATGATTAATATTACTGAAGCAGATATATAATGAAAAATAATTCATATTGATATTATAGATGTATAACATGTCTTTTACTGATGGAGGGTGCTCATCAATGGATAAAAATAATAATGAAATTCACAAAAACAAATTAGAAAACAGATTTGTGTAGTTTTAATTATTGTCAATATTATTTTCATTACTAATAGTATTCATTTCATCTGTATACCATGTATTAATGTTATGTTAATGTTATGTTAAAAAACATGATTTTATTAAACACATAACATTTTTATTATATTATGAAGAATCTTATATTTAATTCTACTTATTTTTACAGGGATATTAAAGATACTAGAGTTGGAACATTATCACAACGGATTACTGGCCAGTTGATGGGATTAAAGGGATTGAACTCTCAAATTCAGGGTATTGAATCATACCTGGATAAAGTAACAGCTGGCAAATTGCCAATTAATCACACAATTATTTATCAACTACAGGACATTTTCAATCTGCTTCCAGACACCAATCTATCTGAGTTTGTTAAGTCATTCCTTGTTAAAACAAACGACCAGATGCTCGTCGTCTACTTGGCATCTTTAATCCGATGCATAATCGCACTTCATAATCTAATCAATAATAAAGTGCAGAATCGGGATGCCGAAAAGCAGGAAGGCAAGAAGGATAAAGATAAGAAAAAAGACGGAGAAAAGAAAGATGGGGAGAAAAAAGAAGGCGATAAAGAAAAGGGAAAAGATGGCGATAAGAGCAAAAAGGATGGTGACAGTAAAACCACAGATAGTAAGTCATCAAAAGACAAAAAGGATACTAAGAAATGAGGAAGTTTCTTTATGTCACCCTTGTCTGTCGATGTATTACCATCGAATGGAACTATGTGAATATATTATTTCCTATCATTTCATACAAATATGATGTGACGTGAAATATTCAGTATATATAATTCTGAGCTAGCAGAAAAGATAAAAAATAATAGTTGGTACATTATTTACAGTAGATGGATTTGAGTGGCGGTAGGCCTACAATGGTATTATTTTAAGTACATCCATGTTTATACTGTATTTCGGAACAAGTACCCATGTTCATATTTTTAATATGGATAGGGGATATATTGTTACTTGGTACCTAACCAATAGTTATGCAGCTAGCTACAGCCTTGTCTTAAAGACAAGGAATGTATATATAATTATATTGCAACTCACAATCCCAAGAGAGTTTTGAAAGTGTAATTTTCTATTTAAAATTCAGGACTTTAATTTTTTTTTTAATTACTGAAAACTGTTCAATTACAGCGAAAAGAAAAAACTTGAAAATTCATGTGCAAGTAATAAATTACAAGTTGGAACAAAGTTGATCATAATTGTTCTACCAACAGTTAGCCAAGGAAGCCTTTCATTAATACTAGGTCCTTAAAAATAATACAAAAATGTACAAAACAAGTTTTACTTAGGACAGTATATCTTTAATGACGATACAGTTGGATGTCCATTGTCATAGGTCAATGGTGAAGTAATCGGGTTTTTAACATCTGTGTTGAGAAGAAAATAAGTATTCAAAAAAAAGTACAGTATTTATTTACCTTCTAATTATCTTGCTAAGGTTCATAATTTCAAAAATATGTCTTAAACATTCACATCATCTTGTATTTAGTAAGTAAATACATATACACAGAAGACACTAATTGTTACACATTAAAGCATGTTTTCCACTAGGGAATATGTTCACGCGAATTGAAAGCATCGGTTCTCCTTCGCAAAAAGTAGAAACAGTTCGAACTGATTTTGCTGCAGCAGAAAAATAACCGATAGAAATGTGAATGCGAATAGATTCGCCTAGTGGAAAAGAAGCTTAAGGCGACTTTGCCTAACTCAAATAATTTCTAAGTCTCTTATTTTACATGCCAAATTGTTTCATTTTCCAGTAAGTAATGATCTCTAAGTCAAATTTTATGAAAGTTGGACAATTTTTCAATGCTATTTTGGATTCAACTTGGGCAAGTTCAACTGTAATGTCTTTTGGTGTATTGTTATTTATATATCAATATTTAATTAATTACCAGCAAATCATTTTGATTGAGTGCACATTTATGTTTGCATTGAAATTACTTGCACCTCTCCTTGCTGAACAGCTTATTTTTTCTATTCTTGTCTGCGGCGGTTGCTTTGTTTGTCATTCGTTTAAGCTGGAATATTTATATGATGTACTGTATTATATTGGTTTTAGCTGCTAGCAATAGACTGTTGTATTTAGCTAGACCCTTGCACTGCCATGAATATACTTGACAATACACATGTCCTGTTATTTTTACCAGAAAAGAAACTTTTTGAGTTGATAGATTTATTGATAGAGAAAATACAGTTTTGGTGAGTTGTCACCAAGTTGAATAAAGTCGAAGCGATATATTTGCTTCAGAAATTGTTATTGTTTGATTTTTTTCAAATCTTTTTAATATGGTCTAAATCCTTCCAGAGCCACTAGGGTTAATAAGACTGGAGCTTATTCCCAGTTTATAAAACTAGAGATACATAAAATTGGAAAATCGCTTTCCTACAGTATATTTGCCAAGTTGAATAAAGTCAAAGCGATATTTGCTTCACAGAAATGTTTATTGTTTAATTTCTTTAAATTTGTTTATTTGGTCCACATAATAATCTATAACATATATTATGAAAAAATACATTTGGTGTTATTAATAGATAGAGTAATGCAATAAAAGCATGATATTATGAAACGCCACTTACGAAACGACTTGATCATTATAAAATTGTGTTCGTTTCAAACTCATTATTTATAAATAACTGCTTTTACATTTCATTTATATAAATAAAAGCTGTAGCAAAACCATAATGCTTGGACTTCAAACTCATTATATGTAATGCACACGTGTTATCGTGTCAAGGTCATTATATCTAAATAATAGTTTTTACTTCCAATTATATATAGGCCTAAATAACCGTTGAAGTCGAGTGCCATTATATCTAAATAATGACATCGTAGAAGCAAGCATAAATGATTCGTTATGCAAATTACGAAGTAATAAATATTCATCAGTGCTCTAAAGTTACAATTAAGTCCTATTCACCTATCGAAAATGGCAAAGCAAGGTATACAGCAGATTATTGAATCCAGTGGTGGCGCCAATTATAATAATAATAATAATAATAGTTCAATGACACTAATTTAAAATATTTTGCGTTTTGTTATGACAAATGCTCGTTTGGATAGCCTCATGTATGATGCTTGGAATACATCGCGATAGGGAAAGCAACCTCGACCTTGATTTCGTGCAAAATTTCCATAATGTAGAATTTCACATTAATGAAAGAGGATTTGTAAGGAAATGAGATGGTTACATTGCAACTCTTTGTTTCTTGTTTTATTCAAAATGTTTTGGTTTTGGAAGCTGATTTCGACATTAGAAAACATAGCCTACATGAAGTCATATTATAGTAGCTCGATGTCTATCAAATAAGTAATAAAAATTCGCCATAATTCGTCAAATATCCGTGCAACCCCACCGCAGTGAAATAAGCAAGAATTTAGTCCAATGAAACTTGTTTATCATCTTGATAGTTTGTTGATTGTTCATTGGTAGCGTCCTCGCTGCCAAAAATAGTTTTTTGGCAGTTGTGGTTAACATAAGCAAGAATTTAGTCCAATGAAACTGTTTATCATCTTGATAGCTTCGGACGAAAATTGACCATACCAGCGTCACCACGGCGTCCCCACCGATCGATATTAGATGACGTTGTTATGTGGGTGTTTGTAGCTTATTGAGAATGGTAATATCACCAAAAAAAAAATAGATGAAATGACAGTTAAATGACCAACAAAGACAACTGAAGACAATAGTTTGTTATTAGAAGTTATTTAGTATAACTTTATTCGGAAAATTAATCTCAAAATCGAGTTGTCAGTGACGTCGTATGATTTGTGTGCGATTTTTACCAATTAACCCCTAAGTAAAAAATAGTTGAGCAATGTAGTACCTTGCAAATCAACCCAGAAACCCGGTAGTTTGTTGATTGTTTATTGGTAGCGGCCTTTCACTGCCAAAAATAGTTGGCAGTTGCGTTCCGTTGACATCCCCTTTTGAAATGTTAAAAAATAACATACATTTTTCAAGTATTAAAGTGCCATTCTCCAACTTTATCTCATGCAGCCACAAACATGACGGGGCTCAGGTGGATATAGTAATTTTCTTAGTTTTTATGTATGACATTGCCATTTTCCGGCATCAAAATTCCCCAAATTTTAACATTTTCTCACCTCCATGATGGGGATAGGCCTTTGTGGATATAGTAATTTTTGTTGTTTTTATGTATTTGCCATTTTCCTACATCTAACGAGTCTCAACTTCTCAAAATGTTCTCACCTGAGCCCCAACCATAGTGGGGCTCAGTTGAATATGGTAGTTTTTAGAATAGTAAGTACTTAAATTTCATTTTCGGGTACCTAATTAATTAATTGGGGAGTTTTTTTTACTCAATTTGTCAAAAACATTATTATTTAATAGGTAATGCAAGTTCCATTTTTGGGCATCCAGTGGTACAAAATACTGAAATGTTTGCGTCACCGCCAACCACGATGGTACTGACGTGATGTGGACTCTCATTACATCAGCACCCCCTTCTTTAAAATATGGATACGCCATTTGCTGAAAACAATAGTTAAGACAAATATATTTCCATTCGTTTTGTTGTTCATGTAAATGTCTGATAGGCTATTACTTTAAAACAATGCTAAAACACAGTCAATACGAACATTTACACATGTAAGACTGAGCTGAGCGACTCCGAATTAAGGTGGAATTATTAGTGGTTATGTGACGTTTGTCATGCACTGTATTATGCGCTATAGAAATGGAAGACCATAATGTAATGGGAATGAACGTCTCTGGTATTGCTGACAGTACAATCAGTGTAAAATATAGGCTAGTGTGGATTTAAATAATGTCCTAATGGCAATGTTCAAAATAAATGTAAATCAAATAAATATGACTGTTGGGGTGAGAGGGGGTGTACCTTTGTAGTTAGGCAGTTATATACTGCCTTTATGTCTAAACAAACTTTAATTTTAACACCGGGTCTCCATTTTAAAAGCTCCTAAGAGTTTCGTGGAGGTCCTTTTCGTTGCTCTGTTTTTTAATATGTATGGTTGAGTTTACTTTGTCATGAATTGCAAAGAACATGAATAAAGGAATAAAATAAAAAAACGTAAAAAATATGTCTATATGCGTACAACAACCAGATTATAGAATTTTCTAATAGATCAATAACTTTCCAATGATAACTACATAAACTACATTACTCCACCAAATTTTAGAAACAATAGCAGTATTGTACAAATAAACGGCATCATACTTTTTATGTTAATCATGAACAGATCATATTAATTATGCCTATACAAAAAAGTTATTAGATCATCACTCCAGCCCGCGTCAACAAAATTGGGAAATATTGATGCGGAAATTTAAAAAAAATGTTTCTTTTTCTTGGCCGCATCATTTTTTCAACAGCATAAAAAACAATGTAATTTTGTGATTGGAAATACGTTTTCTTTAAAAAACAATAAAAATTAAACCTGTTTTTATACAATATTTACAATATTCTTGCCAAATAAAAAAGTCCCTCCCTCATCTAATAAAAGAAGCAGTTGTTCTGATTAAAAAAAAAATAGTGATCTAATAATTTTTCCTATGTGCCCTAAATTGGCTTTAGTGGGACATAAATATATTGTTTAATATTTTAAAAAAAATCCTATTTTTTTTTTCATTTTGTCCAATGGTTGCCAAATTGGCTATAGTGGGACACAGTGATGAAGTACAACTGTCTTCTTTAATATTTTCTAAGTTAATCCTTTT